TATGACCAACAAATGAAGCTGACTCATGCTCAGTCAGACTACTGGTCTACCAAAGTCAGTACTGTCTACTCTGACTGGCAGCAGCTCTCTCCACTAGGCTTACTAGGGGCCTGTAATGGTTGGTAAACTCCTGCTAATTGCTGATGCCTGCTGATGCTCATCTGATCAGGGGGTGGAAGCAGGCTGGCAAAATGCGCGGGGGGGGGGAGAGACAGTGGAGAGAGGCAGACCACCATCCCAGTGTGATGCCAGTGCTTCCAGGTCATGCCAGAAGTGACATCATTGTGCAGGGATGAAGACTGCTGCCCCTCTCACAGTACCTGTCTCACCACCCCCCCATTCCCACCAGTTGCCAGGCCTTTACTGGAACTCTACTCTTCACAGTCTCAAGCAGGGATCTCTCACATTACCTCCTATCAGATCTCTTTTAATTGGAGATGCCAGGGATTTGATTTGGGACCTTCTGCGTGCAAAGCAGATGCTCTTGTCTTGAGCCAGGCCTCTCTCCCCCACTCTCAAGCACGCAGGCCATAGCTTGCCTTGTTACATCTGACCTAGATGAACCACACTTTGCAACAATTATAGTTTTCCTGGGGTCATGGGATTTTTTTCATTTATTTATTAGTATGTGCATTCCTAAGGGTAAACCAAATGGTAAGGTTATGAGTGGCTACACCATGACTTGCCATTACATGTAAAGTCAACCAATTTAAATATTTCATCTACTGCAGTGGCATACCACATCAGTGTGAATTTCCAGTATTCCTCAATGTAGTCATTACTTTTAGAATATCAAGCATAGCAACTACAGTGATAATTCTTACTTAAGAAAAAAACACTACTGGTGTTCATTGGTACTAGGAGTTATTTTCTTTTTTTTAAAAAAACCCTTTATGAACAGCCACCTTAAAGGATGAAAAGGTGACAGTAATTACTGAACAGCTTTGAGATTGCTACAAAATATACAAGGAATACGTTTTCACACAATCTCCTTACAAATTCAAACAATTCAACTTCGCTGAAAGTGCTAGCTTTGAAGTGAAATTAAAATATATGAAAAACTGACACAACCCTAGTTTCTCTGTCACTGAAAAAGTTAAAACTTTGAAAAACAGCATACTTAGTCAAATGGTGCTACTTATCACTTCACTGCTATTTATTCTGGACACCATGCTAAAATCTTTAAACAGAAGCTAAACTTCCCTTTTGCAATATTCAACAGAGCAGCTATTTCTCAGTGTGGTCACCAAGTTTCTACCCATCCCTTATTTTTCCAAACACAACCCATCTAATTTACTTTAGGTGTATACCGGAATGAAGACGTAGGTTCAGATGCATAAATTCAGGTGGAGGAGAGAGGAAATTGCAACCCTATGCTTAAAATATCACTTCATAACACCAAGACAAGTAATTGTATGGGTTTTGCTCCCATTATTAAACCACAAAATTAGGACGAATATGGACAGACAGATCTTAAAGCCACAACACACTCCCACACACAAATATACATATATATGTAAATCTGGGAATTTCAAGATCTAAGTGTCTGCAACCCACATAAACAAGCACTCAACTCCCACAAGATGCTTTCAGAGTTTTGTGACATTATTCAAAAGGTACAAAGTATGTTTTAAGAAGGAGTTTACGAAGTTAAATATTGGGAAATTGCACTTAATGTAACAGTCATATAATGTGGAACACTGAATTCTCTTTCCACTGCTGCAAACACTAGATCAAAGATGAATTTTAATGTAACAATCATAGGAAATGGAACACTGAATTCTCTTTCCACCTGAAAACACGCACTGATCAAGATCAACTGCCAAAATGTTTGGGAACACGTGTACATAAGCACAAACGTCACTGTTCTAACATGGACACTGCGTCAATACATTAAACAGGCGCATGGATGATGCATGCATTCTTGCATAATGTTATAAATAGCATACTATTTCATAAAAAAATCATCACATTCAATTCTTAAATAATGATGCTGTGAGTATTTCTGTGGTCTACGCTGCTCAATACCTTGCTTCATTAGCAGCAACAGTAAAGCCCAGATGTACAAACAGTACTATATTCCATTATAAAATGTTATACAGATAGCACTATGTTCTACATTCTCTATAAAATGCTTAGTGGGTTTTTGTAAAGGCTTTGGATTCTTATATGTGGAAGGAATAGTAAGTTGTAGTTTAAAGTGATGAAATGAATCAGCCTACACTCCTATGACTAGTATCATCTCAACATGTGGTAAGTGCAGCTAATACCATCCACCATGTCAACTTTCCTTAATCATAAATTAACTGAATTACTAGTTCAACAATAGTTAATGCCAGCAAGTTGTTTCTTGGAATCAGTCCAGGTTTTACAGCTTTCAAAAGGTCAGTATACCTACTCAAGTAAACAAGAGTCATATCATTCATTCTGTTTTCTTCTTTAAGACTGAAAAAATGCTATATTATCACTTTAAAAAGTTACTGTGTTATTACTATTATTTTTTTTAAAAAATCATGTGTTTAGAAAAGATGACAGGGGAAGGTGCTCCAGCTTTCCTCCTTATGCCCCAAACTTTCAAGCATCTCCTTCAATGAGACAGTAAACGCTACTCCACTGCAAAACTCCTACGAAAACATTCAGTGTTTGCATCCTTCCTGAACTAACATAAGCTGCCTTACATGATCACAAATTACACCAAGAAATACATTTTTGCTAGATGAGCTACATGATCCAACTGTAGTTCCAATTAAGAACAGGGTGGGAGGGGGGAACGCACAGTTTACAAGGCTTCTCCCCAACAGAATATATTCTAATCATTTGCATCTGCTTGTACTGCCGTCCATGACATTCCGCATCCTTCCTAAATTAATAAATTACTTTGCTCTCCAATGCAAAAGATAAGATCATCATAAGAAAGATGCGATTTAAAGATCAGCCATGCTGTCAGGAGAGGGGGGGAATGGCCACTGTTCTGACTTCAGTAGATACCATTCCCTATCACATAACATTTCCCACTCATAAATACATGACAACTACTTCCTCAATCATGTTTTACGAGCAGGGATGCATGGGGGGGTTGTCAATGGCTAGCTTGAGGGAAAATAGGAACAGCAGGTGGTTGAAACTGTACTGCAAATGGCTATGTGGTAAATTCTCCTCTGGAACATCACTCAGCTATCCCAAGCTTTGATCTTGCAGCTACAATTATACTAATTCCCCAAAACCTGGATTTTAAAGACATACACACTGGGGGGGGGGGAGAACCCTGAACCATGAGCTTTGCATAAAGATAATAAGATTTTCCTACAGATTCATAATATAAACATTTAAGAATTAAAAATTAATATATATGCTAAGTTTTGCATTCACAACTGGCCTCACAAACAACATGGGGCGTCTGGCGACAGTTAAATCACAGACTGGCGTCTCCCAAGCACTCTGTCTGCCATTAAGGTCTGAGAAATGGCATTTTACTGTACAATTAGAAGCAGTGAGCTCTACCTGTAATCACCCAAATACAGGTGTGATGAGCCGTTCTGGACAACTAAAACGACTTGCTCATTTTCAAATAAACATTGATGCTCCCTATTAGTATGGTGGCGCTGAAGAAACCTCTACAACAGCACTTAAAAGTAATGCGGGAAATCTTAGCATTCTGAGTTGCACGAGACTTAAAATGTCCTAATGACCACAGCAACCTGCGACAGAGCAATCATATCTTCAAAGTTTCCACAGGCTAGATGTGATTTCAAATATCCCATTGTGGATGAAAGCAGATTTAATCAAATGGGAGGGAGGTTTCTTTCTTTCTTTCCTTTTTGCAAAACCTCTATTCTGAATCAATTTTTGTAAACATATAACCACTAAAAAAGTTTCCAGCTATGCCACACTGAAAATAAATACAAGTGCACTATACCACTAGAACAGAGAAGTTTTAGCTGAAATAATTTCACAGAATTTATTCTAATAACTTATTAGAGTTAACCATCTGACATTAATTATTGTTTTGGCTTCCAGTCTACGAATGTTTATTTTTCAGTTTAAAGCCTTCTCACTCTTTGATATCATATGGAAATGAGAAATTTTAATGGAAAATTGAAACCATGTGCATCTAAGTACTTAATGAAGTACAGGGAGAATGAGAGGGTGTGTTTTGAAGGAATTTAGATACACAGGCTCCAGTTACTTTTACATGGCAGCAAGCAAACATAACCAAAAAATTCAAAATGAGTTTCACAGTAAACTTTGTATACTATGAATTTTTTTTTCAGAAAAATAATTTAAAAGGAGAGAGTTCCGATGAGTGGTCCCTTTTAATGCAATGGATTAAACGCCTCTTCCCCAGACTGTTCATCTTATCTGTAGCTTTCTCAAGACAAACAAATGCAGCATTGTTTGCAACTCAGGTCTTGAATGTATCCCACATACTCTGGGACTGGCCTCTAATCCAGGTCACTGCCCGTTTGACAGACAGCTTATTCTGCAGCCATTACATATGCTGTCATATTTGTAACCATATGAAAGTTTCTGAACTCACACGTGACACACAATGTGTATGAGATGTTACATTTCTGAGTAGTAAGGTTTTCCCATAAACTGGATGTATGCCACTTGCATCCTCTTAAATGTATTTCTGCCATATTAAAGGGTTTTTTTTTCTTTCCCTCGATATCCAACAAACAGGCATGAATAAAAATTATATCACTTTTATTGATAATGCAGAAGTTCTTTAAAAAGTTACAGGTTCATTCAATACTATGCAGCAAAAAAAATATATCCTGAAGATAGGAGGACAAATTGCTACTTCATTTGTACATCATTAAGAGAGGTTTTACCCTCTATTGCACTCCAACAGATAGGGTAATAGGAACACTGCCAGTAATACATTTCGATTTACTGTAGGTACAATAATGTGACTATTAATTTGACAAACATTAAGGTATCTTTGAGAAACATGGCAATTCGTAAAAAAATAATTAAGCAAATTTTGGTAAACTCACCATTTGTTTTTCTTCCTAATGTAGTCTTTTTCAGAAAGGTTAACCAAGTAGATCATTGGTTTTGAAGTTAAAAACAAGTATTTGTTCAGCACATCGATCTGAAAGTCAGGGGGGGAAGCTAAATTAAAACAGATAAAAACCCCACAATGCAAGACTGCTGGATGATCAAAGTTTGTATGTCTCACCTCTAAATATAAAAAAGTGAAAGCATAGAACTGCATTTATCGGAGTTGCATTTAGAAGACTTATGTAAAGATCTGGGGTTTTTTAATTTAAGGGAAGACAACAAGGTCAGATCAGACTTGGGAGGGGGAGAAAATACTTATAGCCTACCTCTTTGTCATTCCAATCATGATAGAAACGGACTGGCTTTTTTTCATCTATTACCCAGCTTTTGATTTTGCACATTATGTCCTGTGCAGAATTAAAAAAAAACAACAAAAAGTATTTAAAAAACATTAAAAGTAATAAAATTGTTAAAGAAAAACAGGCTCAGTTATACATCAGACAGTTATTTCTCATAAGGGGGGACAAGTAGATAGCAACATATGGAGTACCTTTTAAACTGATGTAATACTTATATGCAAAAGGGACAGAAGAGAACAGCCATGGCTAGAAAAGACAAATACAGAACACCCTGGCAAAGTTACTTCATTGAAATAGGTAAGTGATACTTTACTCTGCCTCACTGAATGAATAAAAAAGCATCTATTATTTCATTTGCTTTCCAACATTCCATAGTCATAAAGCAACCGGGGGGGGGGGATGGGATGACAACCATACACAAGAGTATGTGCTAAATGTGGTGTGCCTAGTTTTGAAATACTGTTTACAGAAAGAAAATGAGCTGATCATTAGCAATCCACCCTTCTACATATTAATCCACATGGCCAAAGGCCTCCATATTCTGCATTAATTTTTTTTGTCAACACCTTCTCCTTTCTTAAGGAAAAAAAAACCTGCCAAAGCTTGCATTACACAATGGCAAGAGCCTTGCTCTGGTGACCTCCACCCAGCTGCATTCACTTTCAGAACATCTCTCCCTGCAGGAAATCTAAAGGCCTTTTAGTTAGCAAGCTAGTGTGCATTCAGAAGGAGTAACTGCAGGAAGGGCCCAATGCGCTTTGTTTCTCTGGCCTTTCTTCACAGAAAGATTAATCATCTGTGAAATGGAAACGGCAAACAGCAAGTGACACAAACTGAACCCTTCAAGCCTTTCCTCATCAGTTTTGCGGTTCTGAATCTGAAAGCTGCGTGTGGCAAGGTTTGCCTTACAGGCAGGTGTTAATAAAAGGCTCTTGGGTCTGAAAGGTCAAACCAAGCTCTTCTAGAAGTAGTACATTTTTAGTGTGTCTTCTCTCCCCTCCTCTTCTTTTTTTGGTCTGAGGTAATTTATGGTCCTGTTTTAAATATTGTATTTCATTTTTAAGGTATCACTGGCATGGTAAGTTAACTAAAGGAAGAAGCACCAATTTTTTGACCTCAAATTTCCCCCCTAAGGCATACGTCTACCTTGTCAATAAATAGGTTAAACATTTATAAATATATTGCCATACTATTCAGTATATGCCTACTCTTCCCAATCTTGCAAATACTTGGGGGGGGGGGGGACAAGAGGAAAGCTCTTCTAAATCCTTAGATCCTGATTTGTAACTCTCCGGGAACAGGGCTCCCCACGGATTTTAACAAGGAAGGAGCAAGCCACAAACTTTTAATGAAATATAACATGTTCTGCCTAAGAATAATCACTTTTACTCTCCTATAACTGATTTTTTTCAGTCATAAATGTTTTAAAAGTGGCTAATGTAACACCATTTCCTACAAGGAGAAGATCAAAGTGCTATATTACAAATGCATTATGATTAAAAAAGCACTGTGCAGCCTTGCTATTAAATGTTCTTTAAACCCTAAAAGGCTTCCCATAGATCTCACTTGGCACTGCATATACAACCTTTGACAAGTAATGTAGACCATTTTTATTCATTGCCTAAAATTGTAGGCAATTATGTGCGTCACACTGGCCACCTGCAAGTTCTGAATGCCTGCTCCAGTTGTCAGAGCTAAAAACTAATGTCGGAGGGGATTAATCTAGGGGGAGAGAGTCCTCTTTAATGGCTCCAGCAGGTGAAATGGCCCAGCTGGTTACTATGATGAGTGGCCAGAATAGCTTATGTAGAGACATGCAACAAGATTACACATTTTTTTTAAAAAAATAATACATAGTAGAAATGTCTACGGGCCCTATCTATTTTTCCATATTTTCTTCTATCAATAAATAACTCACTTAAGCTTAAAGGAATGAATTTAAAAGCTATTTGTCAACTTCATTGTTACAACAATTCCCCACCCCAAGCAATCTTGCTTCACCAGTGGAGGAATTTTATATTTTTTCCGGATTTTAAGAATTAATGTTAGTTACAAATTCCCATCCTTAAAAAGCCATTAACACTGCAAAATTTTTCCAAACACTCTATTGTATAAAACTGGTGGTAAAGTCTTTGGGACTAAACAGTTTGCATTCTCGGCTCCACGTGATAATGAGACAAATCTGTCTTGTGGGTTTGGTTTGTCCTTCAATTATCTCTGCATAGGTAAGCAGCAGTTAGTGTGTTTATGAAGGGTTCCCCTCCCCCTATTCTTATCCAAATTGTTCCGTTGACCTTATTCACTCCAAACACAAAAAGAATTAACACTCAAGACACCACTCTAGTTTAACTTCAGTTTGTCACACTACAAGTACCACAAGCATGGTGTACCAATTTCCAAAATGCACTCTGTCTTCTCAGAGACTGCCCCACAATCTTCCCCCTCCCCCCAAAAAACTTGCCAAAATCCCAAGTTTAAGCAGCTATCACTGCTTCCCAGTGACCAGGGCTAAGCAGACAAGAAAATTTTCAAACATATTATGTAGCATTTTATATTTCAATGGATGTTTTATGCACTGCTTTTTTATATAACTGTTATAGGGTTGCCATCCTCCCAGTGTAGCTTGGAGATCTCCTGGAATTACAACTCATCTCCAGACAACAGAGATAATTTCCCCTGGAGAAAAAGTCTGCTTTGGAGGGTGGACTATGTATACTCATCCTCTCCCCAAATCCTGCCTTCCCCAGGCTCCACCAACAAAATCTTCAAGAATTTCCCAGCTTGGAGCTGGCAACCTTAAAGTGTTGCTTTAATGGGAAACCCCCCTCTAAGTCCTCTGCATAGGACAGCACAGAAATGGAAATAAATGGAGGGAGTGGAATTAAGATACAGTTCTGTTGTCCTGTGCCCAGGGGTCATTTCGTAGAAAAAGAGGTGCAGGAGCTCATTAGCATAACTAATTAGCATGACTTATTTGCATATGCCACACCCCCTGACATCACCAGAAGTGTCTCAGAAGGCAACACCCACTGCTCAGGCTCCACTGGACTGTTTTGGATTGCTAGCTATTGGGGGGGGGAACGTGCAGATCTGTCCTCACAGAGGAGGGAGAGCTTGTACCTGAATAAAACTTGGTCTTAAAAGGTGCCACTGGACTGTTTTGGACCGGGGGGCTGGGGGGGGGCTCTGCAACATACCTGGCTGCTTCTTGCTCTGACTGAGGGCTGCTGGGAGCAGGGGGTGGGGCTTGTTGCATGTGTCCGTCCCCTGGGCTCTTTACTGCCGGAGCTCCACTCCTGTGCACTCCTGCAGGAAATCACCCCTGCCTGTGCCAGTCTGACCCATGCCTCTGGGATAGATTCTAAGAACTACACTTTTCTTTTTTCCTTTTTGTTTAAAGGTAAATATGACTCTGAGCAAAGTGACTCAGGGCAAGTCTTCCTCCTTACTCCCATCAACCCGAATCAATCTTGTACAAATATCTAGCCTTCTATGAAGTTACAGACAGGAATAACAAATTCTAGTAAGAGTAGAGAAAAGCTGGTTAAAGTTACCAGCAAATCTCCCCACAGTTTGCCCAAGGATCCAGCATGAGCAGCTGCGATTTCTCCTTTTCTTTGTACTCTACCATTCCCCCAAGCCCGTCCCCAAACTGAAAAGCCATGCTTTAAAACCCTGGAAGAGAAACACAACAAAATCACTGATACGTACACTAGATCAAGATGGGTAGCCATGTTAGTCTGTCTGTAGTGGTAGAAAAGAGCAAGAGTCCAGTAGCACCTTAAAGACTAACAAAATTTGTGGCAGGGAACAAGCTTTTGAGAGTCACTGCTCACTTCTTCAAATACAGCTAGAATGTGAGTCCATATGGACTTGGAAAGTGGAGTGATTTCAGATGCCAAATGAAATTAGCAGGCAAATGACAATAGCAGATGTGACTGGATTAGGTGTGATATGCAGAGGGGTAATAGGCATGGAGAAATCAGCATTGGTGATGAGACAGAAAACCTAGCTCTCAGTTAAGTCCAGGTGGATGTATTATCTTGAGCTTCATTAACAGTTGCAATTCAGTAGTCTCTCTTTCTAATCTCCCTTCGAAATTCCTTTGTAAGAGAACCGCAACTCTTAGGTCAGCAACTGGAATGTCCTGGAAGGTTAAAATGCTCCCCCACTGTTTTTTAATGTCAGACTTATGTCCATTAATTCTTTGTCGAAGGGACTGGCCTATTCATACAATGTAGAGGAAGGGCATTGCTGATATGTGATGGCATAAATCACATTAGAGGATGAGCAAGGAGTATGAACCTGAGATGATATGACTAATGTTTCTGAGTCCACTGATGGTGTTGCTAGGATCTATATGAGAGCAAAGTTGGCATCTTAGTTTGTTGCAGGCCTTGGTACCAGAGTCCATGTTACTGTTAAGTAGTTTATCATTGCGGGTGAGAAGTTGTTTTAGGTTATCAGGCTGTCTGTAAGCAAAAGGGTCTCCCCCCCCCCCCCGTGCCTGTGTGAGGGAAGTGTCACTATCCAGCACGGGTTGTAGTTCATTAATAATGTGTTGAACTGGCTTAAGCTGTGAGCTGTAGGTGACCACCAGGGGTGCTCTGCTGTCATTTTCTTCGGGCTAGCAAGCTGCCTTTATGAAGACAAAGCTGCTCTCTGTTCAGACTAGTAGCTTGCTGACATCCCTGTGAAACAATGTTCCCCAGCCAATCTATTTACTATCATTTGCTGAGGTGGTGTTACTGCGTATAAGCACATGACTTTCTATACACGGTGCCTGAAGACCTTCAGTTTCCATCTTGCCACACTCAACCCCAAAGTGTTGATATTCATTTGAGATTCTGCCACTGGCCAAATTCTGTGAGATACCAGTTGTTAGAAGTGATATCCCCAACCAAAGACACTGCGATAATAATAAATGTTGTAGATCCTAGATAGGCACCTCTTTGCACAGCCTGTCTGGAGCCAACCACCAACCCATGAAAGACCTCAGCACGCACTCTGGAATGAGAACTCCATGCAGTGATCTGACACCAGAATTA